AGAATGGTAAGGCAAAGAACACCTTAGTACTTTAGGCCACTTTTGCATCTTGGTTAATAAAAGAACCTTATTTTCCTACTTCGAATGCTTAAAAATCCACTGGCTACATTCAGGATTGCAGCTTCATCAAGTGCAAACCGCTGTGCCCATGCCACTCAACAGTCTGTGCCACTGGTGAGCTGAATGTCATATCAGCATTCCATGAATAACCTCAGGAGGCTTATTCCCACCATCACCCCATATACCCCTTCCTCTGTCCCCCTGCACGACTTAGCCATTTCCAGGGAGAATCAAATTATCTTCCCATGTAAAGGCAAAGAGAGGTGAGTTGTGTGGAAGTGGAATGGGGTAGGCAGCAGTAAAGAGCACCAAGGGGACCTGAGAAGAAATTGCCCTCAAGTAGGAAAGAAAGTATTTACAAAGACCAGATCCCTGCCCCACCTGACATCCGTGTTCTTCTGCATGGGGAACTTGATGAGGGAAGAGAGAGGAGAAAAGGCTTGGAAATGGCCTCTGCAGTCACACACCCTGCCAACCCCGGGAAGTAGACAAAACTTTCTGGGCAAGCTGCTGCTGCTGCTGAAGCCAATGCAAACACACAGCAAGAGGAAAAGACATCCTGACCTCTTTGTTCCTCTCCCTTCCAAACAGGGCTCCGGGGAATTAACTGCACCCCTTACACACACACACACACACACACACACACACACACACACACACACACACTTGAGCAGCAGCATGACCCTTCACCTTTCCTGCCACTGCTGACCTCCCAACTGTCCAGACTCGATGGTGCTTCCTGGCTTCTCTGTGCCTGTCTCTCATTAGACAGGGACACATGCTCAATGACACTGCAGGAGCCCTTTGTGGAGTTCCCTAATTATCCAGCAAGGACAATAAAGGCTCAGGAGCAGAGCCAGGCAATACTTCCTGCAACCAGAGAGAAACAGAGCAGTCAGGTCTCCAGCTGGCAAAGCGCTACAGGTTGCCCTGGAGAAACAACAAGAGCATGTAACATCCATAACTCACATCATCCCCCAGATAGTCCTGCATGGCCTTTGAGCCTGGTCTCCATCCCAAGGCCTTGTTCCCAATCATCTCCTTCCCTGTTGCAGCGACTAAAGAGTCACAACTGTCTGCAGAAGACCAAGGGGAGCAGGAAAAAAAATCTCTTGACTACTTTAAGTGGTTTCTTAGGAGAGGTCTGGAGAAGTACTGTAGGTTGGATTGTGCTTAGAGCCAGTGTGGCATTTGGGGATAATACTCCGCTTGTAGCTCTTGCTCCATCACGAAGATTTCTCCTTGAGTGGGCAAGCTTGAGAAAGAAGAAGAAATATTGGTTTTTCAAACTGACACATCTGAGCTCTCCTCTTAGACAGGACAGCACCCTTTCCTTTTCCTCCCATTGCAGCCAGAAACCAGAGATAGAAAGGAACATCATTTTTACTGCCTGGTTGCGGCTGTTTCTGATAATTATTTAAGATCACAATGTAAAATAATTCACTTTTTGTTTGCAGGTTAAGTTAACTTGGGAAATGTAACATTTTCATCACTGTCCGTGGGGGCTATTCAGTATTACACATCACTAGGATCCTGCAAATTATTAACTTGGCTGCTGAGGCCTGCAATGTAAGAAACAGGAAATGTAATCCATTTCCAGCTTCAACTCTCCTTTCTTTCTCTAAAAATGGAGGAAATGGTGACTCTACCCTTCAAGCAAAAGGCAACAACAAAATTCTGCTCAGAGTCACTTTTGTGTGAGATGGGTGACTATACTAATAGGATAAATAAAGATTGCCAAATATTTCTTAATCAGAACTCATCATTAAAATAATGGCCAACACAGAAAATCCCACATCAGTTCTCTGCTTAGCTGTGGACAAAGGAAGTCTGCGTTTTCCCCCTACTGCTTCTCGTTCAATTTAATGAAAGAGATTTTGTTTAAGGAGAAATGTATCAACATTCTTGTTGGTGGACTATGGTTTCCTTGCCTATTGAGATACAAAATGGAAAGAGAATATGTAAATAGTCTGTTTTCCATTAGATATTAATCTCTTCAGTGATCTGCAGCCTCCCAGAATCCCCAAGGAAATATATAAGAGAATTAAGAGAAACCAACTACTCAACATCTTTCTCATGAATTTGATGGAGAATTTTGCACTTGGCAATAGTCTGGTCTTACCTCTGATTCTTCTCCCTTGCAAAGCTGCCAGCTGTTGTTGTGGCTTGTATACTCATCTTACTGTAGGCTGCAGTCATGTCAAAGAGCATCCATCTCTTTCCCATTCCAAACCACCTCCTCCATCACCTCCAGAGTCCTTCACACATGGAAATTCCCACACATTCCAGAGGGAACTCTATGGGGATGGGAGAGCCAATTTATGGCTCTGCTGCCACAAACAGCTGCTCTACATCCAGGACATTTCACACACCTGCCATTGTCTGCATTTGAAGGGCTGTTTTGTGCTCTTCTTCTCCCCCCCCCCCTTTGCCTTCTTCCCCAACCCTTAGGAAAGCTGTGGGGTTTGCCCTTTGGATGATGCAATCTTGAGCAATGGTGAGTGCATATACTGGACATGTAGAAAGATTCTGTATTCTATTTATTCATCCAGTGCTGGAGGCAGTTTTATTTTCTTGCCTTTTCTTGTGCAAGACGAAGGGATTATTTATTGTACTGGCAAAGGCAATATAAGCAAGGGAGCACATTCTTTAGTCTTTAGTGTTATATGGACATCATGGCAGCATGATGCCACATGAGTTAAAGAAAACAGGGTAATCTTGCCATTAATGTTTCTCTGTACAAGGTATTTATTTGTGAGTTTCAGCAGAATCCACTCCATAATATGGATTATTGCAGACTTTTGGCAAATTATCACAATATGTTCCGTGTATAGCTACCTTCGAGATTGATTCAGAAGCTAAAAGTGGTGCAGAAAGCCGTAAGTAGGTTTCTGACAGATGTGCCGTATCATCTCACACACACACAACTGTGCTAAAGAACTTGCATTGGCTGCCAGTCTACCTATTCAGACCCAAGCTGTTGATATAGTGTTTAAAGCTCTAAACCAGTGCTGGTGAACCTATGGCACAGGTGCCAGAGGCGGCACTCAGAGCCCTCTCCGTGGGCATGCACGCTGTTGCCCCAGTCCTAGGGTTTTATAAAACCCTCAGCTGGGTTTTATAAAACCTTTTCGCTTTAGGTCTCCGCTGCCGTGTGCAAAAAAAAAAAAAAAAGGTCCAATCAATTTCAACTTCTCGTGAGAAAAAAAAAGATCTTGCAAAGTTGAAATTGACTGATTGATTGAACTTTTTAGCCCCACCCAGTCTGCCGTTACCACTGCAGCCACGCCCACCCAATGGGCCACACCCACCCGGCACTCGACAATGCATAAGTGGGTTTTGGGTTGTAGTTTGGGCACTCAGTCTCTAAAAGGTTCACCATCACTGCTCTAAACCGTAGGGACAAAGTTACCTGAAACAATTTTAGTTGGATCACTTTCCTAAGACTTCTGCTACTCAAGAGGATGTCTCCTCTTTGCTCTGCTCAGTTTGCTCTTCGGTGGAAATATGGCAGTAACTTTCCTGCAGTATTGCCCACTGCTGAATAACCTCTAGTCTGCAGTATGCCAGGCTGCCACTGCAATAGGTTTTAAATAATTGAAAAGCAGTTTTTTAGTTTGGCCTTCTTTGGCTATTAGCTCTCTTTTCTTTGAATAGAAAGGTTTTACTACCATTTTCTTCTTTGTTTTCATTGTGAAATATTTTTAGGATGGGGGGAGGGAGAAAGGAGATTCTTTGCAATTAAAAGTAGTTAGGAAATACTGTTAGCAAAACAAGTTAGGAAAGCTGTAGGTGGCCTATGCCAATCATGAGAATCTGCAGCTCTTGTCCCCAGTCCTGAGATGACATTTGCCTTCTCAGGTTAAGGGACTTTCTTCCTCTTCAGATTCTTCTGCAGCTGAGATTGGCACATCAGTGGCTATTGTGACGAACAAGAACATGGAAGCTATATGGATAGGAATCCACCACAGTAGCAGCTTTGTGGGCCAAGTCACTCCACACTTTGAGATATTCTGCTTTCTGATTGAACTTATTCAAATTCTGTTTTATAATATATATATATATATATATATATATATATATATATATATATATATATATATATATATATATTATATAATCATATATATATATGATTGGCCAACATGACTTACAGTCCAACCCCCACAATGTGTTGGCAGCTGTCCAGAAAAAGGGGAGAACAACTGCTACGGAACTTAGCGAGGCTGGGAAAGCTGGGAAAATGGTGCCTGGGGGAGAACCACGCAGTGAAAGCATAAGTGCATTACCCAGAGTGAGGCTTCGTTGTAAAAAACATCATGATGTTAAGGGTAGATGTCAGAATGGTGGAGAAGGGGAGGGCCATAAACTCACGGAGAGTTCAAAGGAAGAGAGAAGGGGGAGACGACTTAGTGGTGGGGATGACATCTCGAGTTGGAATAAGATTGAGGATCCTCCTAGACCAGGGATACGGATGAGTGGCGAGTCGGAGGCTTGTTTAAACTCTGATGAGGGATGCATGATACAAGTAGATGAGTCACTCAATCATGCAGCAATTGCAGGGAATGCTATGATTGGCCGACCTGGACCTATTACACAGTCCAGGAATCGAGCGCAGGCGTTAACTTACATATAAATATTCACTCCCATTGATTTGTGTACGCCCTGATGAAGTTGGCAGGAGCCAACGAAAGCTAGGTTGCTAATCTTTTAAAACTTTTATTCAAGCACATACAAGAAGAGATGGATAGGGAGTTAAAGCAGATTATGGACTTGGTTATTTATATAGTGGGTTAATGTTAGTTAGAGTTTGATTATTATATTTGTAACCCTGTACTCAGCTCTGGGAAGTGGGGGAGGGAGAGGGGGGGTTTAGGGTGGTGGGGTTTGGGGCGTATACTGTAATTTTTATAAAACTTTTCAATAAAAAAAAGAAGAGATGGATAGGACTCATTTATTAAATATTTGGCAGATGAGAAAACATGGCTTCTAGTTTACAGCTTTCTATTAGACTTGTTCCCAACATGTACAGAATCTCCCATATATTTTAACAAACTGTAGTGAAAATATTTGTACTCATGCACTCATATGTACTCACACATATACACATTCACTCAAGTATGAATGGGAAAACAGTTGTAAACTGGTATTACATTCATCCTCACATTGGTTTTCATTGTACCAAGCCTAGCTTTTGGTGTGCTGCGTAGTAGACAAGGAAGTATTAATTGCCAGTTTTAGAGCTAGTATTTTTTGAGATCCAGGATGTCAAAAAGAGAATGCATACTTACATTCACACATACACAGTGCACAATTTCCTTGCTCTCCACATCATCATTTCTAGAGAAATTCTGCCTGTTTTCTGTCTCAACAGGAAAACACAGTCCTCCACTACATCTTGGTAACAATCAGCATATTTGGCTTGCCTTCCGTATCTTTGTACAGGATCATACCTACCCCAGTGATAATGTGGTCACACTGCAGCATTGGCAAGCCAAAATCAGCAAGGGCCAAACCAATTGAAAGCATCCAGGAATAATAGTGGGAGGGAAGCTTTGCTCCAGTACCTTCTTTGTATCCTAGGGAGAATACTGGCTGGCTTGCCTTTAGTTTCTATGTGGAAGCAGGTCTGTTCTGCCTCCTGTTTGGTCTAGCATGTCTTGTCTCAATCACACTTCACTCAGATGCCTAGATACATCATGGCTGTATCAAAGAACCAGCAGCTGCACTTGCACAACATGTGAAGCTACATTATTTTAGTTTTATGTTATCATGGTGTTAGTCTAGGGTCAACATACTGAATGAATTTAGAAAATGGGGCTGGATGAACTATAGAAAATTCAGTAACCAAAGTAGGTGTGTGGTATGATGACAGCCAATCTCTAATTCTTGCCAGCTGATGCCAGTTCCCAGACATGTGCTGACAGTTTCACTAACATAGGTTCTTCCCTGTCCCTTCCAGGATGTCCTGAGGAAGAGAATTGCTCCTTTCAGAGAACACTAAAGAGGAGGAGCAACTTTCCCAAATGAGCTTAATTTCTGCATGCAGAGCAAAATCTTTCTGAACTACGAGTCTATGTGGCTGGCTAGAAGTCTTATTTCATTTTAATCTGCTCTCATAATCTATCCACTGCTCTCTCCCACAGCTGCAAGCCAGGTCACCCAGAAAATAGGAACAGCAAAGCCCCTCAGTTAGCCCCCCCCCCATGCTGTCCCAGAGCTCTATCAAAGCTGTTGCCTCCGGACTACTACTGGGTCTGCTTATCTTTTCTGGTCATTCACTCATACCTACCAAAGTGCCCTGTACCCACATACCAAATTACTTAGACATAGAGAAATCTGGATGATGGACAGCTTGCCAAGAATTCACACTTGTCTATTCTGTGATTCTGATAAACAAAACCAAGTTCTCTTCTCAGTTGCCTTCTCCAAGGAGCTGGTTTTGAGGGACTAATTGTGGATCAAGTAAAGCAACCAAACTTTGCCATTGGGGGGAGGGGAGAGAAGGGAGGGAGGGAAGGAGAGAGAAAGTGAACAAGAGTACAGCGACTGGATCATTTTGTTACCAAAATATTTTAAATACACATCTATTCTGAGGAAAGTTCAATTAATCTATGTTAATGATCCTTTCCCATGTTTAACATCTTTATGCAAACTCTTGTGTAGGGACAGGCATCTGTACCCATACAGTATCTTGAAGTGCTCTAGTCTGCTAGGTTGAAACTTCCTGTTTGGTTATCTTTTGTTTCATTCAGTGCTGTTTTCCCCTTCTCCCCAATACTTTACTACCCAATACTAACACCAATTAACATGACATAAATAGAGGGCATTCTGGTAAGCAGGGGCTCCTGAAAACCTAATGTCCTCCTTTCAAAAGGAGCTCTTTTGATCCTGAAGTAACAATTTAAGGCAGGTTGTTGACATATCCTTGGAATAGGAAAACAAGCCTGATCATAATGACTTGTTTTACTTTAGAGCCGATTGCCAGAACAGTAGAAGCAAAACATAGGAAGATTTTTCACTCAGTTCCTCTCAGATCTGCTACATCTGACATACCTGCTCTGTCCTTTCTTTATCAGGATCAGACTAAATTCTATTCCAAAGGCTAGCCAGCCTAGATGAAACCTCAGAGAAGCTTTATTGCTCCCTTTCTGGAGGCAATTTATTTTACTACACTTATGCCATGGTATGTGAAGATTCTACTGACTCAGCATTGTGGATCAGATGTGCACAATGGATCTGAAAGGTTGGTCTTCCCCAATAGCAGCAGAATCACGCAGTGGCTTCTGAAGGAGGAGGCTCACCTTAACTACATTTACATGCCACCCATCTTACTATCATGTGACTCAATGCCTGCATTGTCCCTGCTTCCAGTGCCATACTGCCACAAGAAGATGGATGCCTCTCTGTTCCTTCCCATTCACAAGCCATCTTTTTGGATCTGACTCCAGCCCCACAATCTTGGCGCTCCTAAACTCATAAACCAATAGCCATATACTGTAGGTTTTTCTTGGTCACATATTTCAAAACCACAAGTTAGATTCAAAAGAAATGTCTTTTGATTCAGTGAAAAATTTCCACCCCCTACAGTAACACACTTTGGCTACAGAATATCCATCCATGGTTACCTGAAACATAGTTTACTCAATTACCCATTTTTCTTGGCTCACACAATACACTGAAATATAAATTAATCCCAAAGCCTGGATTAGCTTGTTGGTGATTAGTATGTCATGTGAACACAGTCTAAGTATAGCTAAGTTCCCAACTTCATTGGATCTCTGGAAAAGCAGCAACTGAACAGCATTTTGAAAAACAGATGACTGGTTTTCTTCCAGCCAAAAATATTAGATAGCACTAAGCCCTGCACACAGGCCCCGAGAGCAGATCTTTTTCAACTGCAGTTGGGAGATCTGTCTGTCTCCTGGCTTTCAAAGGCACATTCACCATATTGAAAAGCATACTGCAAAATGCTTTGGAACAGATTCCTCTCCTTGCCAAATCCCAGCAGCCAAAAATGTTTTGCCTGAATTGCAAGAGTTCATACCTAGAGAAGAGAGTGAGCCAGAAGGTTTGGCAAGCATGCATGGGCAGCTGGAACAGCAACGCCAAATTCTCTGGAGACCAGCTAGCTAAACCAGTAGTCTTGGGCACATCTTCAGCTTCAGTAATATAATTGCCAAGATGTTCCTTAGCAATGGATGGCAGAGAAAGAGTTTGACCCCTTATTTTGCCTATTTCTTGCCACATAATACTTTTTTTTCATTATTTCTCTTTTCAACTAGGTCAGAGATGCAATTCAGAGCCACGCAGGATCCTCAGATGAACTTTATGTGTGTTCAGGGGCATTCTTCATTGTACAAGAGAGGGAACCCAGTTCAATTTGACACTGCCTCCTCCAGGATTTTGTGGCTGTTGAACTTTGGCCAACAGCTCAGTGATGTACCTGTCTCCTAAGCCCAAGTGTTAGAGGTGAAGGGCAGTTTGGGGAAAAGAAGTACTTCCTTAGCTCTTGGGGAATACAGATGGAAGGATGAGCTATTAGCTCCTCTATGCATCTCAGCCTGTCAGGAAAGCTTAGAAAATGCCTTAAAGTCAATACAGAAGCCCTTCAATTCCAGTAATATGAAGCATATGTTAATTATTTTGTAGGCTAAAAAATGTGTTGTGGATGAAGTGATCCAGACACATGGCACTGACACAAGTGCAGGGTAGAAACCCCTTATTTGTCTTGTCATGGCCTGAACCACTGATCTTGGAATTTCATGCAGAAATGAGCCTTTCTGTTATAATCACTTCCTGGACTGGATTGCAAGAAAGGGCAGAGATACAACTGTATGAGAGTTGCTCTCTGGAGGTAGCTGACAGCAGGAAGAGAAGCTTTAAAATGCAGGGCCTTTTCAGCTGCAAAAGACAGACATGGCAATTTGAGGCTGGTTGAAAACTGCTGCTCCTCCTCCTGAAGCTGGCACATTTGTGCATAGAGGACCTAGTGTGAAATCTAACAAACCATCTCATCCAGCATGACCTCTTGGTTTCTAGACTGGCAGGAGATGGAAATAATGTTTCTTAAGCAGGGATTATGCTGTCATGTGCTCCAGGCTTGAGCAGAAGACAGAACAGGATCTACAGGCAGATTTTTTTATTTTGACCAGTAGACCAGTACATTGATAATGGTAATGATTTTGTACTTTCAACAAGGTAAACAGCCTCTAGAATTGACTCCATTCTTGGTGACTATGCAGATTTCTAAATCGTTTTCCTTAGAACTCTACAAAAATGGTTCACTATTGGCATCTACTAGGTTTAGCTATGTTTTTCTGCTCATCTACTATACATGATGGAGGCAAGTCACCATAGAGGAACCTAAATATGACTGCTGAATTGGAAAACCTCTAATCTGTTCCAATCAGGTATGGCTTGCGTTGGTAAAATGGTTAAAACAAAATGGTTAAAAATTCCCCAATTTCTGATTGTAGGTTTTGCTGTGGCCACAATAATCCCGGCTTTGGATATTTGCCTGTGTGTATCTTTATAGCTACAGGCAACTATTTATAATACAAAGGCTAAGTAGCACTTCATTTACCTAATCTGAATCAACAAAATAGGACAGATGTAGAATGTCCTATATGACTGTACAAATTGGGGCTTTAGAAAAGTGAAGCTCTTGGTCCTAAAACTGGAGTTTCAGATCTTCAAAAACAGTTGAACATTTGTGCATGACTTTCTCTAACCCCTAAAAGGCAATATGGAAATTGTAAGTCTGCTCCCTGGAGAACCAGTACACCCAGCCAGCTTAGTCAGAGTTCACTCCAAGGCTACTCCACATTTCCCTCAGAGCAAGCTTCTGAAAGAAAAAGGGAATCACTATGGATAGAAGGGAATGATAGAAGGTTTCTCAGCCACCAGAGCAGCAGGCTGACTGGCATTTGATGTTGGAAAGGGCATTGAGTGATAGCAGTACTTGCTTAAAACAGCTTTCTTTCACTAAGCCATCATATAAGGCGACAACCACAAAACCACCTGTTCTGAGAATTCTCTAAAGGTAGCTGCCAGATACTGGATCTTTCTCCCATCCTTCTCCTGATATCAGGACAAGCACAAGACTCACTAGAATGCTCATGGTGAAAATGCTCATTTTAATGCCCATTGAATAAATGAAACCGAGGGCACCATCTACTAGGCCACAACTCACTGAAACAAGCCAGCTGCACAGGGGCACGGTGGTGATAATGCTCTAGTGGTGCTCTCATTCATTTTGACAGGACTGACAGAAAAACCTCCAGTTGGATTAACCTTGTAGGTCAGACCTATCCATTTACCACTAAACTATCTTTAATGGTACCCAGGTCAGTTGCCTCCTGGCAACCCCACCATCTGGCACACCTTGCTTCTCACTGGCACTGTGTGACATGCATTCACAAACAACCCAAGCAACCTGCCATTCACAGACAAAAGCCACCATTCTGAAAAGGCAAGAGGAGCTGCCGCCATATCAGAATCCCCAGCCAGCATTCATCTCTGTTACTTGGTGAAGAAATTCAGCTGGTTGCAAGTCTGCACATGGGGGACTTGAAGATCACAAATGTAACTGCCAGAGCATGATAAGGTGTGAACAATGAAGCCCAGGTAGAGAATGGGGACAATTTACAGGAAGGCGGCTTGCATTTTCAGAAGCCATTATTCAAAAAGCTTTCTCATTGAAACAGAGATGAGGCTCTGTCCAGTTAGCACTGAACACCTACAGAAATAGGACATGCAAATTTAAGGAGATGCCCCTGCCCTGCCCTCCCCCCAGAAAAGCCATTGTGTCTGTTGGAAGAAGACTGCTCCCCTGCAATTGTTGTTAGTCACAGCTTCACAATGGTGGATGTGTCAGTTGGATCATGCCTCTTCTGAAGGATGTGGAGACATCTTTAGTATAGGAGCTCACACCTTGTTACCTGCATCAAGACACAGAGAATCTCGTAGGACACTTGCCCTATAAGAGATATGCACACAGAATTTTAAATCTGACTAAAAATTAGTTTAAGTGGTCAGTTTAGCCAACTCCCTCTTTTTGTGTCTCTCTCCCACTGTCAAGGTAGAGAGCCAAAAACATTAAATGAGGCTTCAAACAAGTTTCTGTTTGCTGCATATACATGCCATGTGTATCTCCTTAAAAAGCTACAGGCATTTCAAATTGTTTCCAGATCATAGTCCCAGTAGGTGATTCCTTGAGGGCTCCAAGACCCACATGAAAGAAAAATTCCTTCTGAATCAGCACTTCACTAGAAACGCAGTGGGATCTCTTAGCCGACTGCAAGAGTAAAGCACAAAGCATTTTAAGCAAGATGGGCATAATTCCACTAAGCACTAGTAGATCTGTAATACTGAGAGTGTAAAACTCATCACAGTGAGGTCTCCAATATTAGGATTTCTCACATGCCCAATCCCTCTCCCATCCTATTCCCTTTGAGGTAGCTACCAAACAGGATTTCTGTCTGATCATAAATATGAAATGCTGAAATAGGCATCTGGTTTCTCTGAATGAATGCTGTCAGGATATGCCTAAACCACACTAGTGCTTTGTTGGCAGCAGAAACTTCTGTGTTCTGTGAAATCCAAAAGATTGCTACAAATGTCACAATTTGAACTACATATCACCTATACTATGTGGGACAGTTTATCACTAAGATTGTCCCCATTCATTATATAGCTCTGGTGCAGAACGTAAGTTTAATGTTTCAGATGTGCTAGGTGTAAACTCTGGGATGTACATACAGAGAAAGGAAAATAATTCGGAATATGTGCTTTGGGCTATTCTGTGGATCAGATTTATGTGGTGCCTTCCTATTATTGATTGGTGTGTTGATGGCTGGTGATTGGTTGTTGTTTCCTTGAGCTGCCAAGCCCTCAGCTCCTAAGTACCTGAAAAGCTGGTGGTAAATCAACACCAGGGCTTAGCAGCACAAGAAAACAACAACCAATTACCAGCCTTTAATACACTAATCAACCAATAGGAAGGCACATAAATACTCTGTAGCAGGATATTTGCCCCACCCCACCTATATTAATTATTCTGCTATTATCTTATTCTCTGTCTGTCTATGAAGAGAAAATGGTGGACAATGTTTCTGACTGAGCTGTAAGAATTACAGTGGCTTCTGCTTGCTTGGAACAGAATGGCCATACACTTACTTAAACCTCTGGTTGGTCCAGATTTTTTTATTTAACCTGCAAGAAACAAAGAAAGGTTTGGTAAAAGTCATTTTCATTTTCATGTTTAAAATGTGAACATTATATCTCTGAAAGAAGCATGTGCATTAGGTCCTAGTCAATTTTTAAAACAAACTTAAAAATAATTAGTAATCCAAGGACAAATCAGGCAACTAAATTAGTAGTGCACTGTTCAGTAAATTCCACTAATAATAAAGAACTATGAAATGTCTAGTGGAAGAACTACACCAATAGGTGACCAAATATGTGTGCACAAACATATGAAAGTCAATCATATCTGTGACATCCTCAGTGTCACAGATTCTGTGTCCTGAAAAGAGTTTGAACTAACATTGTAAATGCTTCCTTTTGGTCTCCATCCATATTAGGCTTTGCAGAGCTGTTTTTGTACCTCACATCTATTAAGGCTGATTAAACCAAAATGTAAGAAGTTAAAATGGCAAGCCTTCTAGCTGATCATTACAACTAGATGCTAAAAGAGTCATTTGTGTAGCCTCTGCTGTAGCTGGCAAATATACATTCCCACAACAGGACCAACTCATACTGGGACCAAGGTGAGCTGTGCCATGCGCACTTAAATTCAGTTTTCTGATTAATCATTGACATGTTTTAAATTTGAAGTGTGTTAGGTTCTTTAGGCACATTCCAAAACTTGCCAAATACTCGTTTAAAGGAGTCACGGCAGCTTTGCTTTTACCTCGGTCCTTCCCATTCTGCATCTTGTCCTCCTCTTCTTCCTCCTCACCTCCTTCCTCTCCCCCTAAGACAGAAAAAAGCCAGTGGCAATGAGAAAAAGTGAGGGGGCAACTAGGAAGCAGGGAGCTGTAATGGCAGGAGACTTAAGAAACTCTGCTACTCTTTCCATGGGTGACTCAAGGTGCAATTCCTTCTTCAAGACGGCATGACCAACAAAGACAGAGAGGGCAGCTTTGGTCTGGATCACAGGCTCTATCTGGAGCCCAGAAGCAAAAACCTTCAACCAGATTGGGACAACCAAGCATCCTTTTAACAGAAAACAGAATCCTGAAATTAAAAGAATTGAATGCTACATTCTACAAAGGATACCTTACAGTCCTCTTACCCTTCCTGACCAGAGGTTGCATCAAAATAAATTAAACAAGATTCTAAAGATTGTGTTCATTCAGTAGGAAAAAACCCTCTGTATATACCATGTATGTTGTTTTCAAGTTATACTGTAAAATTCATTTCTTAAAATGTGCACTATGTAGACATTTTCCTAAGTACAGGGCAGAAAGGAGTGATGGGCTGGAATACAAACAGAATATGGTGGACATAAAGTTGGAAAGAACAAGAAAGAGGAAATATATCACAAGAGAAGAGGAACAAGACTGCTATAAAGAAAAGTAATAAGAGTAATAAGAGGAGTGTACAAGTGCAATTTTATAGGCTTAAATTGTGGACTATATTCCAAAAATGAGTAGGGCTATTTTAAGCTTCAGGATTTTAAAACCTATATAAGTTTTAAAGAACTGACTTTAGTAGTAGTAGTAGTAGAGTTGGAAGGGACCTTGGAGGTCTTCTAGTCCAACCCCCTGCTCAGGCAGGAAACTCTATACCATTTCAGACAAATGGTTGTTCAGTCTCTTAAAAATTTCCAATGTTGGATCATTCACAACTTCTGGAGGCAGGTTGTCCCACTGATTAATTGCTCTAACTGTCAGGAAATTTCTCCTTAGTTACTTTGTAACTTGAATTGACTATAACTTTAAAAAATGCAAAAAAGGGCCCATATTTTAGCTCCACCTATTCTGGGGGACTCTAGGGGCATCATAAAAAGGGATGCTGGGACTACCTTTTTTGCACCGCTGCTGTAGGTCCAACATAGGGCATGGAACTCATACTTATCTGACTTTCCAAAGTGAGCATGGAGGAGCATGTTATAGAGAAGTATAGACTACTTGCTTTTGAGACCAATCAGATATGTTTGCTTAGGAGCATGGAAGATGACATTTAAAATGACCTGTTAAAATAAAAAGACCTATGGCCTTTGAGGCAACATTGTAACTAATCTGCTTTTTATTTTGTAGAGATAGAAGGGCTGGATTTAAGTCATATCTCCCATTGACTTTCCTGGCTGAGTCTAATAAAATCACTTTTTAGTTCTCATAAGGGCTTGACCTCTTTTAACAGTCACTCAGGATGCTGTAAGCCAGAACAAAATCAGATTATACAGATGTAAGGTTTTGAAACCAGGTTCAAGAAAGTTAAAGAGAGTTGGGAAGCATGGTGTTGTATCATGACTACTTCAGACATAATCTGCCTAGCTCACCATAAGCTGCTGGGGAGCCCTAACTCCAACTGTTTCTCTTGATTTACACAAATGAGAAGAGGTTAGATACTTTCCAGGATCTCCTTGTCTGGCTCTCATCAAAGTGGGTACCTGCAGTTTGTTTCATCTGTCATTTGCCTGAACTGCAAAGAACTCAGTACAATACACAAAACCTGGGTGCTGGTGGTAGAACAAATCCTACTTTTTACAATTTGTATGCATCTTTTCATTTCCCAACTAGAGAAAAACTGTCTGGCCAATTCAATTCAGAACCTCAGGATTCTATATTATTGGAACCCAATGGCTGCAGTTCTGGAGTCCACAGAGACTAAGTGTGCCTGAATTGGTTCTGAAAAAAAAAATTCAGCAAATTCCTAGCTAAACAAAAAGATGTGAAGAATATCATGAAAATATTATTGTATGATCTCTACGTGCCATGTATTTGGAAGTATGAGGAACAGTTATTGGTCTGCTACAATCCTTGTTTTAGTTACCATACGACAGAGCACAGGAGTGCCCCAGTCTGATTTCTATCAGAGCATGGAAGACCCTATAAGCTCCTGTAATTGTATCACATTCTACCTGTACCACAAGGCCATGGATATATGACTAGCATGAAATATTAGAGGGCCTGAGGCGACGCTTTGGACCCTTCTGAGATTGGTATCGCAGAAACAATTTAGTCAAAAGCAAGCACCCAATTGACACCAAACCTAGCTTCTTCTTCAGGAACCCTCCCTAGTTGTATTCATCACATGTAAGTCACGTGGCCATTTTGGCTAGGAGAATGACAGGTTGTGACCATTACTAAATTATTCGGGGGGGTGTCTGCTATTATTACCCACTGGAATTCTATTATGGAATCTGAGTCTTTTGTACAGAGTTGACAGGACTCTCACTTTATATCTTTCCTGGCCTCCCTATGGAGTTTGCATTCTGATCAGGCTCTAGCATCTGGTTTCTCTAGTGCATTTTGTGACCTTTTTGTGACCTGTTTAGCCTGACTTATTCCTTTGCTTGGCCATGGCTCAAAGAGAACTAGCTCTACATGCTTATATACCTCAGATGATTTCTTGTATGACTCAAGCTACAGTGCTATACTGCCTAGTGGCCAGGTCATCCAAGGAACAAATTATCCCATCCAGATTTTCCTCTTTAGAAGTTACTCCAAAAAAAATAAGATAAATACAATTATTTTGCTTTCAACCAGCTGAAAATATCTTGATTTTGCAAAACTCCAGGAATATGCCATGTAACATGGGTTTGTAAAGTATTTTCAAAAAATCATATTCTTCCTAAACTTAGTCAACTAAATCTAAATATGGTTGGATTTTAAAATTAAATTCAGCATTTCTGATTCTAGTCTGTTTAATATTTAAATATTCTAGTGGAAGCCGATAATTAGCATTTTGTCTACCTAGAAAGTAGATTTATCCATGTGCCAGATTTGTGAACCAAACTTATACGTTTGTTTGGGTAGTTAAAGAGGAACCCAGGAATAGGATTCTAATCTTATCTAACTTGGCAACTGTTAGGCCTATACCAATGTTTTTCAAATGCTGTAAACATGCTGGCTAGGGAATTCTGGGAGTTGAAGTCCACATGTCTTGACGTTGCCAAGTTTGAAAAACACTGGTCTAAATTCTCACTTATTTAGCTGTAGTTTATGAATGATTATTCATTCAAAAAAAATGGCAGCTGCAAAACTGTCTCTAAAATATATTACATTGAGGCATCCAGTCTTTCCTCCTTGTGCTAGAGGATACATTTCAATTTGTCAATGAATTATGTCTATGTTGTCCTTTAAAGCTAACCTCTCTTGATATATGCATGTACCTTTTGGGCCTCTGTTCCTCAAACTATGGCTGTCTTCCAGATTTGTTTGACTACCGCTCTAAGCTCCCCAAGTGTGGAGTGGGCCTTGGGCCTTTGGGAATTAAAGACAACACATCTGGAGGAAAATCAAGAAACTAAATATTTAGCAAATTGCATATTATCACCTACAACTATCTAAATTTCTTCAGGAAAAATATATTCCACATTCTCCATCAGCCCACTTGGGCAATTACAATATTTTCACCTCTATCCTTAAAACTGATTAATTCCTCTTGCTAGCCTTCCATTCTACCAAAAATTGTTCTATGTTTTGATACTAAGTGTTGGATTATGGAACATATATACCTTAAACCAAAGCATATAGATACTTTTATTTATCTTATTTATAAAATAAATGTGCTCAGACAAGCGGGAAACAAAATGATACTTACGGTATTAGCACAAAGACAAGATATAAATAAAATAAATACAAATTTTAATTTATTTCCTAAGTTTTCCTACTTTATTATTTGCTTTATTAAATTTATTTTTCCCTAAAGTAGGAAATACTTTATTAAGTAAATAAAATACATTACTTATTTAATCTACTGCTTATTTTAAAAAGAACATCCTAGGCTGATATTTCTCAATCCCAGTGCCTTTTAGATGTGCAGATTTCAGTTCGAGTTGAAGTCCAACATCTTAAAGATTGAGAAACACTGCCCTAGAATAACATATTTTTTTTCAACTTATTTTGTTAAGGAAAATTGTATTAATATTTGCACTAATTTCTCAACTGAAAGCCTCACTACAGGAAACATCACCGGCACCCAAAATGTGTCCTTGAGTCTTTTGCTTAGATTAATATAGAAATTTCTTGCATACCTGAATGAAGCTCCTTCACCAAATATGACATTGTATTGGTAATGGAATCAGCTGCTACCAGTAAATCATTACGGAGGTTCCGCCGAGTTCCTGAAAAAGGGTGATGAAGTAATATGCAAATATGTTCTAAGAAAATTAGTGGCTGTAACACCACTATAATACTTTAGTTATTGTGGACTTCAATAACTAAAGTGGAAATTATTCTTATTCCCCGGTCGAAATATAAGTTCTCCCTTTGCTAGGATGGTCTGAGTTCCAGCAAATATTGATGACCTTTCATTGATGCAAAAACTGATCCTAAGGGTGTTTTCCCACTTATACATTCATTGACTATGTAGATTAGTCAACAAGTGATTTGACTCCTGGCTCATTATCCCAAAGTGACCAAGTTGAACAAGAGAAGAGGTATGGTTGCTGTGGCAGTTCCTTGGAAGGTGGTGATCATGGCACCAGCAACAATAGCCTCTGTGCCTTCCATAGGTGAACAGTTGGCCTTCCTGGAGGATAGAGGCAGCTGCGACTTGAGGAGGTGGTGGTAGCTAGTGATGGGAGGGGGGCAGTATTAGAAAAAAAGATATGGTAGCAAGAGAACATCAGCCATAGCTGCTTCCACTGCCTGCTGCATAAGAGCTCCTGCCAACTCTCCCAACTGCAGTTGCTGGAGAAGCCATGCAAACAAGGAATGAGGCAGCAGAAATGGCTGCCATAGCAGCAGTCCCAGTGGGGACTTTGTGTACACCCCAGGCAATGTCAACATTTGCTGTTTTCAACAGACTATGGGGATGACTTCCCAGAAGTACTTGGGTAGTCAGGTGCTGGCAGTGCAGTGGATCTGAGCATGTTCCATCACCCACTGAGTGAAATACTTAAGAGAAAATTAACAAGCAGTTTGCATGACTCACGCAAAATTGGCTAGATAACAACCCTGCATATGTGAAGCACAGAGAAATCAGTGGAATAACAGCGGAGCACTTAAAGGACACAGTAGAGGCTTTTGGTGGACTTTTGCAGAAGTGTGGTTTAAAATATTTTCCAAAAATAAATTGTGCACTCTAGAACTTTTATCTTCTCCCCTCCCCACTCCTTCCCTCATATTTTTATGTATACATGCACAAAAGGGTATGTACATTATGGCTCACCTTGTGCAAATGCTTCCTGGACATCTCCACCAACACCAGTAAGTGAATCTTGGGGTACATGAGTTGGGGTAGAACCAGCAGATGTGGACCTGACTGGCATTGGCATAGAGCGGCCAGACCCATGGGTTGGGGAAGTATGTGGAGAACCAGCTGCCTGAGCCTAAAATAAATGGAAAGCCCAGTTACTACATTTCTTTCTAGAACAGCTCTTCCAAAATAAAGCTCCAGCAGTTTACGTTGCAAAGATGAGTGACAAACCCTCAGATAAACATTCTCTGTCTCATACAGCATGCAAACTCGAATATCGGCACATGCAGTTTGTAAGCCATTAAGGCATGCTTTCCAATCTGGTGTCCTATCAACTCCAGACAACATGGTCCATCTGGAAGACGTAGATTGGAGAAGGCTGCATTAAGACAATCCCAAATTTCCTGGGAGTGAAAGCAACTGTCTCATGTCTATTTGGGCAATCTGATCTACTTCAGCTTTCCCCTGAATGGGAGTCTTCCAAATATGGGAAATGGTAGCTTCCAGGCTTCTCAGAAATGGCTATGCTGGCTGATGTGAAGTCTACCAAGTTGTGGAAGGTTTATTTCATCTAGCAGCCCAGCTCACCAAGGCACCAGGAAAAAAATAAATAATTCTACTTCCTAAAAGCTGTTTCACTCTGGCTAGGAAGTGAATCCTTTTGCCTGCAAGTAAATATGCTATCACTAAGGAAAGGATCTTTCCTAATTATAACTAAACCTCATGCTGTGTTAGATGATTGGTCAATATATAATTCTCCACTCTAAGGCAATGATCATCCAGCATACTAAAGCCAAATTTACTAAACACAATTGCAATCACATCAAATGCTATGCCATAATAAATAAACCATTGTATGGCTTAATGGGTGGCCTGGTTCACACTATATGCAGAAACAGCTGTGTTTCTACAATATACTAAATTGCAAACAATACAATCCCATTTAGCCAAGGCTTGCATGTTGTGTGAACCCAGCTGGTAAAAGATGCTTATCTGAAAAACCAGAGACAGCAGTACTAGACCACACCTGACCTAGCCAAACACTAAGATTGAAATGCTCAGAATCATGGATCTCATCAATCTCTGCTTCGCTATTTATATTTAGTTTGATGGAAAAATATATCAGCACATCAGAGAAGCACCCATCACTCTCAGGACTCTTAGCAGAGAATGTAATGCAGGATCCAGGGGTGTCAAACTGCTGGCCCACAAGCCGGATGCGTCATCCCAAAACGGCGCCAACCCCATTGCCAGCAATGGAGAAAAAGCTCCAATAGGTCACGCGATGTCACGTGACGTCGCGAGTTTGACATGCCTGATCTAGAAACTATAGTCTTCCATATATACAACAAAAGTATGGATATAGATCACACTTTCATCATAATAAAAAGGGAGTAACTAGAGAGAAGACACATCAAACAATCAACAACTTCAGTGGAATAAAATTCAAAGAAGAAGAAGAAAACAACATTATCTTTCCTCAATATCCTCATCAACAGAGGATACAATGGCAATTAGAAATACAAGTGTTTGAAAAACAACCCACATTAACTAAGGGCTTCATTATCAAAGTAACAACCCAACTTATCACAAAAGGAGCTACATAAATACATTATTCAGATGAATATAAATGCACTACAACATGGGTGTCAAACTAGTTGCATCACATGACATGTTACGATGTATTGCGACTTTTTTTGCATTGTGGGAGCTGGGGTGGGTGTGGCCTTCGTATAATGCAACCGGCTCACGGGCTGGCAATTTGACACCCTGCACTACAACAACCCAGAACACTAGAAAAAGGAAACAGACTGCCTATATCACATGTTCCAACAAACTGAATACCTACACACCTTTGTCAAGAAGTGCTTGACTATTCAACCCATTACAACTAACACAAACTATTAAAAGAATAATACTGCCATACATCAAAAACAACTCAGAAACAACCAACAGACAATTATAATGCCATGACATCACCATAGAACACAAACCAACTGAAGCTTTCCAAAACACCCAAAAAACCTAGTAGCCAAGAAAGAAAACAAGAGTCACTTACAACATACAATGTAAGGACTGTAATAGCTATTATGCAGGACAGACATAGAGAAAACTAGCAGAGTGCATCCAACTAATAGTCAGAAGACACAATGAAAACAATCTCACAATACATGATCAGACTCAGTCATAGTTGCAACTGGAAAATTGTGAACATCCTAGACCAAGCTAAATCCAAAATGTTAGGGAATTTCTGGAAAGTTGGCATTCAGACAAATCAGCCATCAACAGACACATAGAGACAAACCACATTTACATACCTTTCAAAAGAGACAATAAAAAAGCTAAGAAGGAAAAGGAAAGATTGGAACTTATCTTTCCAGCAACAAACAGTGAAATAAGCAGGGATGAGCGGAAAAATGAGCAATCAGAAAACAATATCCTAACTAAGGAACTACCAAGGAGAAAACCACATTCCTACCAACACTGGCAGGACAAGCTACTGTATACAAACAAAGAGCAAATCCCATAGCCAATAGCACTGATTATGTATCTGCAAGCAAACAAACAAGCTCAGAAAGCACCAAGGACATGACAATGGGAAAGAATGACAGAAAGCTGACTATATATTACAATCAATTTACTCAGATTACTAGCATTACAGATTATGGTCCCACACTGACTCTTACCTGGACTAGTGAATAAAGATGGAAAACTGCTGGAAACTAGCACTGCTGGCTTTAAATTAATTTTATATATTCCAAAAGCACCCTGAAGTGAGTTTTCTGTGTGTAATTAAAGCTATCTGGAATGCTTTAACTGTTTTATTGTAACATTTTGTACTTAATAATTTTATTTCAAATTATGAACATATCAAATATTTCTCGTTGTTATAAGGTAACATGTTGTATATACAGTAAATTACTACAGTTGTATAAACTGAATTCTACTTTGACATATTATCTAAATATCAAGTGATGAAGAATAAATTTGAGTTCCCCAGCTAAAGTTCATACTCTGTCCCAAAAGCATAAACATTCAGCATACGCACAACTGGCATTAAATGATGCATAAACAGAGCTGATAATGTGTTCTCAAGGGGGCTGTATGTGTTGTATTCACTGTCCACATATGAATGGATTCTGGAGAATTAGCTCTTCAGTTATGTTGGTGTAATAGTGAAAAACCACAGGGGAGAAAGTTTGGAGATTAATTGAATCATCGGCCTGGCTGGGGGATGTAAGAGACTGTTGAGACCTGATTTGCATAACAGATTCTATGTTGCTCTATGAGTATATACTATTTTGGTCAGAAATAATTTGAATAACATAGCACTGATATCATGATTGGACAGAAACCATGGTTGTACTCACCATGGAAATTAAATTGGTGATATTTGTACTTCGTTATGAATCATTTCTTGTGAATGAGAATGAAAATACTTCCGATTTTCCAGATGGGGAAAAGATCAAGCTATGCAATGAATGCACACTGGGACATTATAGCTGACCAAAGGGATATGAAGGAATACAGAACAAAACACTTCAACTCTTGGGAGGCTGCCATCTCCAAGTCCCAACTAGAAGCAAACACCGACCTTTCTTACTGCTTCGTCCAGCTAGATAATAATTTTAGGAGTAAGCCCCTTTTTATGCAAAACTCAGCTTTTGCTAGGCTTGAACTGAAAGTTAATCACATTTCTTTTACTTATAAAGTTTTTTTAACCTTTCCTTTTCAACTCTGTTCTTTTATTAATTGATCTGTAAAGTAAGCTTTGCAAGTCTTGTCTTTCATGTGTACACAAATAGTGAGACACACTCATGGCTGTTTTGGACTGAACATTTGTGACTAATACTGCAATTACCCATTAACATGCATAACCTCTGCACATCCTCCCATATTCAGTTTGTGTCATTTCATCTGGTTTTTATTCTCTGTTTTCTTTACCAGAAGCAGCCCCAACCTTTGAATCACATTTGCTACTATAGAAACCCTGCTGTCACAGAGTCTGGAAAGGAATCTGATGCTCTTGGAGGTGAGACGAAGTCAGTTTTCACAAAGCTAAATTTGAAGAGTGCTCTGGAGGTTGACCCCTGACGCAAGAAACAACTCAGGTAGGCTCTGTACAGGTTCTCCCACTGAAACTGCAGTTGCTGGACTTCTTTGCCACTGTTTCCGTCAGAGCAAAGGCGGATGGCAGAGTCACATAATGGTGGATGTTGCTATTTTTCTAAACTTTAAGCTGACCTTCAAATAAGATGTATATAACAGCTAATAACGGAATTCAATCTCTTCATGGGCTTTTCGGATCTTTTTTGTACAAACATTATAAAAGTTCAAACCAGAAGACCAAAACTAACAAAAACTAATAAAGGAAAGAGCTAAGATGCAAAAAGAAACAATAAAAAGAAATAGAAAGAAGCTTCCAATTTCTTCGGCAGCAAATCATAGAAATACGATGGCATAATTATCTCTTAACTTATTGTTACAAGAAAGCTCTTTTCTATTATCTAATATTTTCTAATCATCAAAACAAAAAATAAAAGTTATTTGTTTCTATTTCATGCAAAATTCCTTAAGGGGTTTCTAATCAGCAATAACAGAGCCAGTCTGGCCTGGTGACTAAGGCACCAAACTAGAAAACTAGGAATTCTTCTTGTGTCTTAGGCACAAAAGCCGACTGAGGGACTTTGGACCAGTAACCGTCTCTCTAAGCCTAATTTACCTCACAGGGTTATTCTGAGAAAATAGGAGGTGGAAGGACTTAGCTATGTTTGCCGCCTTGAGTTTTTATAAAAATAATAAAAGTGGAATTTAAAAAAGCTTTAAAAATGTAAATGTTGTCTTTCTCTGATCAAAGGAGTTTCAATTTAGTCATCTCTGCAAATCCCATTATCTTTATCAACCATTCCTTCATTGAGGATAGTGTTGAACCTTTCCACTTTGAGCATATCATGATCTTGGTACAGTTATTGTGTGCAAAAACAAAGTTCCATGACTTTTTTTCCCAGCTCTTTATCCATTAATTTCAAAAGAAAAGTCTCTGGCTTCAATTATACATTGGTCTTTAAAAACTTCTGAATTAATGCATATATTTGAGTTCAAATTTTTTGGGCTTTTTTCCACATTCATCAA